CAAGTCTTTGCGTCTAGCTTCGAGCTCAGCCTTCCGTATAGTTTCCAGCTCGGCTTTACGTCTGGCCTCTGCTTCTACTGCTACTGCTTCTTTTTGCGCTTCTGCTTCTCGTTCCTGTTCCTTTCGGGTCTTCTGAGCGGGAGTACTTGCTGCTGCAGCACGTTGTCCTTCCAAATCTACCGCTTCCTCTTCTTCCCTCTGCTTCTCCCGCTCTACCTGTCTCCGCCCTTCCCCCTTCTTTTCCCTCTTCCTTCTCTGCTTTCCCACTGCCCTTCTATATCCGGGCGGCTGTGGCGGCTGTAGTACTTGAGTCGCGTTCATATCAACGATAGATGGAGCCGTGAACGGAGATATGATGGATCCGGACTCGGATATCGATGCGGTGGTGGAAATAGGACGAGTCAATCCCGCCAATGACGGAGGAGGTACGACGAGGTTATTATCGCTACTCTGATTGAGGCTGCTGTTGTTCTCCGTGTGAGCAAAGGGACATTGATCACCTTTTACGCATGAGCCTTTTCTACGCCATGTGTAACATGGTTTTTGGCGAGAGGGTGTGTGGGGCTGAGGTTGAGCCGACCGCTTTGGCTGGATGACAACAGGAAAGGGAGGAGATAGTGGAGGAGAAGGTGGGGTCGCGGTTGAGGTCTAGTAGGTATAGCATAGCGTATAATTAGTATGGCAGCGTGCGAGCTAAATCGAAGAGAAAAATTACCTCTTCATCAATCGGGGACGTAATCACTGCTGCAGCTAAAGCGGAACTGGACCGACGCTGCGCACCAGGAGCAGACCTAGGCATGTTTGCAGCAGGTACGGTAGGCAGCATCGAGTCATGGCGCATTTTACATCTATCACCAAAACGACAATTGCCTCGATTAAAGTACGGGCACGGCTTCTCTGCTAAGCCGGAGAAAAGGCCGAGATCAGCTTCACCGGTACCAGCAACTGTGGCGTTCAGGATACCCGGGTCGGAGGGAGCTGAACGGCGATGGGAGCGTTCTACACGACGCCGAGGTACAGCTGGGGTTGTAGACATGGGGGTTTCGAGACAAGAGCAGTGGAGCTGACCTCAGCACAGGATAAACACGAAGTAAAGGTGGGGTCTAGCCTGCCGCGTGGGCTGGTCGTGGGTATAAAGGTTAAGAGGTAAGATTTGGTGAGCCGCCCACAAAGGCAAAGGTTGTCGGACTAGTCTGTAGTTGATCGAGAAGGCAGTGGGTTTCTACAGAACCCTCGATTTGAATGGAATGATTATGCTATTCTGAATGCAGGTTCCTTTTTTGCTTTCCGAAGGAAATCATTAGAACATTTGATGGCGAGTCGGAAGTCCAAATCCAGAGAAGGCGCGAAGCATTTCTACAATTTCACTGCATTGAGTCAACAATGACTAAGGCCTAGTGAGAATGTAATAAAGCTGCTCCATGTCGTACGCGCTAGTTTGCTAGTCTTTTCAAGCATTTACTCGTAATAATAGCGCACCAAACGAACTAATTATATCAGATCGAATGACTATTAACCTGGGTCAGACCAAGTCAATCTTCGTCGTTAACCCAATATAGTATGAAAGTACCAAATGCATAGAAGGAATTTCTAGTCAATTTTCGATAGCCAGCATAAGCCGAAACTGTTGTACATAGGTGAGAATCCAATTTGGATTAGCGAAAAATTGACATTCTGTGAACGTCCAATTCTTCTCCTCGGCCTTTCCTCTTTTACTGACGTGAAATCTGTCAGAAAAAAATTAGCTTGTTTCGAACGAAAATCCGACGCACATAGTAAAAATTCAGTTTAACTATGTAGTTCTTCCGAACAACATGATGGTTGGAAGGAAGACTGGTCTCCTGGTCTCCGGACCGATACTAAATATCATTATGAAATGTCTTGGCACCTGCTGAAATCCATATTCTAAACTCTGGAGGCAACGCGTACAACCTAACTTCCAAAAAAACGAAAAACTTGGACTCGTGGCCATCCTCGTCATCGCATATCAGCGACGTTTATACTGAAGAATCCACAACGTATCTTTCCGCCTCTCCAATCAGACACAGTACTTTCAAAATTCGCTATTTTCACAAACCCGTTGGTCAATGCCCGGTTTCTCCCTTTATATATCCCCTTCTTCACCCGGTACCTCAAATTATAAATGTGTTGGTCAAATTTTAAAGTGCCACCAGAGAACAAATGACCATCTTCGACTAATTTCTAACCCCATGCCCCATGATTCTCACCGAATCAATGAAAAGCCGTCATGGCTGACTGTTATGATCCATCTCGGGCGCATTAGGACGACGGGAAAGTATATAAGGAAGTAATAGAGGTAATAGAGAGATTTTGACTAGCGAACGCATTCCCCGCCGTCAGCCTTACCTGACAAGTCGAGATGATGTCGACGTTTACCAAGTTTCTCTGGCATCTTGGACTTTGCTCACTAGGGCTAGCCGTCATTCAGACACCTGTACTTGCCGCAATTTTCGATCAGGTCAATGATTTACCTTCCGGTAGGGAGTATGATTTTGTCATTGCGGGAGGTAAGCTGGCTTTATTCTACGAAAATGAAGATTTAGTTATATTCTGTGGCTCGTAGGGGGAACAGCGGGACTCGTTCTGGCAAACAGACTCTCCGAAAATCCCGAAAATAATGTATTGGTTCTAGAGGCTGGACAATCGTAAGTGCCAGGGCAATTCCTCCGCCTCCCTCTCTAAGAGCCGAAGCCATTTCTTGCTTGCTTTCACAGCTCTGTCGGCGTATTCAACATTACTGTGCCCTACTTTTCCACAGATCCATCGTTTCAGTTTGACTGGAATCTTACGACTACTCCTCAGTCGAGTCTACTAAACAACCAAGTAGTACTTTTCGCTCGAGGATTCATTCTAGGAGGGTCGAGTTCAGTAAGTAAGTGAAATATCTCGTTTGCATCGATAGGAGTCAATGACCCATTATTCAAGACGGGATGTTTTATACGCGAGGTTCCGCAGACGATTTTGACCGTTTTGCTAACGTTACAGGAGATGAAGGATGGTCCTGGGATAATATTCAACAATATCTGGCCTTGGTAGATACTTGGCCGTCAATTTTTTATCTCTTTGCTCACAAGGTACGCTTATCTAGAATGAAAAACTCGTCCCCCCAGCCGGTAATCCCAACACTACCGGTGAATTTAATCCATCCGTACACTCCTTCAACGGAACAACGTCTGTTTCTCTTCCGAGTTTCCTTCAAAGCATTGATTCAAAGGTCATCGACGCATCGAGTGAGCTGGGCGGAGTGTTTTCGTTCAACGAGGACGTGAACTCTGGGACTCCCCTGGGTTTGGGTATGTGAACGCCTTAGTACCAATTTTTACATCTTGGCGATTGTTTCCGACCAAGATTTATGGTCTTAACAGGCTGGCTACCGAGGACTATCGACTCTCAAGGTCGGCGGAGTAGTTCTGCCACATCTTACCTCGAGACCGTCCTTACAAGAGATAACTTGGATGTCCTCGTAAATGCCCGCGTATCTCGTGTACTCCCTACAGGCAGTTCTACCCATTCCAATACCGGACACGCGTTCCGCACTGTAGAGTTTGCGCAGGACATCGTAAACGGTACGTACTAAACATTTCAATCACTTAAATATCCTTAATTCGGCACTCTCTCTTCCTCTAATTCTTTTTTAACAGGACCTATGCACCAAATCACCGCTACTAAAGAGGTCATCATTTCTGGCGGCGTCGTCGGCTCCCCCCAGATTCTCCTCAACTCCGGAATCGGCAACAAAACCTTCCTTTCCTCTATAGGAATTGATCCCTTGGTGGATCTTCCCAGTGTAGGCCAAAACCTCTCCGACCAAGCCTTCATCGCCAGTGCGTTTTTGGTGAATAGTACCGACACGTATGACGATTTGAATCGGAATGATACTGTTCGAGATGCGGCGCTAAAGGAATGGCTCGGTCAGGATGGACGTCCAGGAGACGTGCATGGAACTGGTCCATTAGGTGATACGTTCGCTAATCAAATATCGTATTATCGGGTTAGTAAGGAGATTACGGAAAAATTTGGCGATTTCGCTTCGGGACCGACGTCTCCGCATTTGGAAATATATCCAGGAGTAAGTCTATTTTAAACACACTAGTTCACTGTCACTTCTGATTAGGAATAGAATGGATTCTTCATTCTTGTTCCTCCAACTGGAAACTACCTCTCAATGACGACTGTCGTCGTTAGCCCCGCTTCCCGTACGTACCTGTACCAAATCAACTTCTTCCCCATCATCAATCCTGACGAACTGGACTTCGGTTCTTCTTCGCATCTCTACATGCTTATCTCTAGGTGGCTCAATCCTCATCAACTCGACTAACCCTTTCACGCCTCCGCTCATCGATCCTGGATATCTCACAGCCGAATTTGACATCGCCGCCATGAAAGAAGCATTCAAGATCACCTACACATTCCTCAACGCTTCAGTTTGGGATGGGTACATTCTCGCTCCGCCGCCCGGGCTCCCAACACTATCCGACTTTTTCGCCAACTTCAACCCAGCGAATAACAGCATCACTCCGAAACTGGATGCACAACTGGAGACTTATATACGCAATTTTACAGGTACTTCGGCACATCCTGTGGGTACTGTAGCGATGTCTGCGGAAAATGCGAGTTTTGGAGCTGTCAATCCAGATTTGAGGGTGAAGGGGGTGGAAGGGTTGAGGGTCGTTGATGCATCTGTTTTCGTAGGCATTGAAAAATTCCTCTACAGTGTTTGTTAGCTGACTGCGATATCGCGCTTTATGTTTGCTTTTTACTTGTAGCCGTTTGTGACTTGTAGCCACACGCAAGTGCCTGTGTATGTCTTTGCGGAACGCGCTGCACAGTTGATCAAGAAGTTCTGGGAGCAATGAGAGGACTGGAACTGGATTGTATTTATGCGGATCGTTGAATGCTACTCGAAGCATGTGTAATACATTTTTCTGTTTATGACTGAGAGCATGTCATGGGGTACCGCAGTGTACTTAAGTACTTGTGCATTAATGGGGTAGTGGTAACCTGGGTCGTTGCCAAATACGCTATTGTGTTTGTCAGTTCGACCCGCCGGGGGTTCGATTCCCCCTTAATGCATATACGTGGTTTGTGGTTGTTGATTTTTATTTTATAGTTTTTGGCCGCGAAACTATTGCTACATTTCTCGTAACTATGCTTTGTAAATAACGAGCCAGGTAAATGGCAAGAGCGTACTCATACTTATGATCAGGCCGAATAGTTCCAGTCACACGTGGGCTAGGGATTTCCCTGGTCTAATACACAATTCCTATCTCGTACTACCATCATGGATAAACCAGTCGAGTACCGCCAGCTAGGATCCTCCGGATTAAGGGTTTCCGTGCCTATTGTATGTCGTGCCTGTGACTAGACGCAACGAAATGATAATAGATTCTGTATAGGTGGGCGCGATGAGCTTCGGGTCTCCTCTGTGGGCGGTAGGTTGATCATCTATGATCGGGCATGTTCTTGTAACGAATAAGTTGCTTTCCGATTTCGCTAGCCCTGGATTCTTGACGAAGATAAATCGATCCCCATTCTCAAGGCAGCTTGGGATCGTGGTGGGTGGTTCTGCTCCTTCAGTTTTTTAGCTACGCTTATAGATCATCCTCTCAAGGTTTCCAGACCATAGACACGGCAAATGTCTACGGAAACGGGGAATCGGAGAAAATCATCGCAAAATTCATCGCAAAGGTATGCTGTTGCAAATCGCAGTGCTGAACTTGATTTTAAAGTGACCCGCTATAAGTACAACATTCCTCGAAACCAGATCGTCATCATGACCAAATGCAACGGTTTGGTCGCCGATGACCCAGGAACTCGTACATACTACAACCCTCAGATGCAGAATATGCCTCAGTATGTCAATCAAGCTGGACTTTCTCGTGCCGCTATTTTTAACGCCGTCGACGCGTCCTTGAAACGCTTGAACACTTCCTATGTCGACCTCCTCCAGATTCATCGTTTCGATCCCAAAGTTCCCGTGGAGGAGACGATGAAGGCTTTGCATGACTTGGTGCAGAGCGGAAAGGTTAGATATATCGGAGCTAGCTCCATGAGATGTTGGCAATTCGCTCGCATGAATGAGGTGGCTGAAAAGCACGGGTGGACGAAGTTCGTTAGCATGCAGAATGAGTATTCGTTACTTTATCGGGAGGAGGTACGCGTCAGATATTAAATGATTGGCATATATTCACCTTTGTTCACATGAAAGGAACGTGAAATGAATGCTTATTGCAACTTCAATGGCATCGGACTCATTCCATGGGCTCCACTCGCGGGTGGTACGTCTTTAGCATTAAGCAGTCAGCGAGGAAGCTCAAGAGTTTTGTAGGCCGATTATGTCGTCCCGTAGACGCATCGCTGACTGTTCGAGGCGAAGCTATGAAATCAAGTCCATCTTATACGCCGTTCTCAGAGGCCGATAAAGCTATTATTAACCGCGTGGAAGAGGTAGCAAAGAACAGGGGATGGACCATGGCTCAAGTCGCCCTGGCTTGGGTGGCTATGAAGGTTTCCAGTCCTATCGTAGGCATGTCCAGTGCTGAGAGGGTGGAGGACAGCATCATCACCGGCATGGTGCTTGACGATAAAGAAGTGAAATATCTGGAAGAACCGTAAGATTCTGTCTCTTTTCGGAGTTTCTGCTTATTCAATGTATGGAATTTGCACAGATACGAGCCTAAGAAAGTACGAGGGCATCTATGATTAACGGTCCAGCAGAAACTTCTGTTTTTTTAAGCAAGTGGCGATGATACGTCGGTGTATATGCATATCTTGAAATGCCGAATAGAGCTCTCTGAGGACATGCTGGTACTCACGTTCGCCACAAGCAAGGGATGGCAGAAGTACATGTTGCTACAATAGACATACATACAAACATATCCAAAGACCACGTAAGCTCGTACAGAACTTCATTCACGATCATACCCAAGTATCAGGCCTGTGGTTGACGCCGTCAGAACAGACGCTACATCAGAAGAGCTTGCACCAACTTACCCAAAACCACCAGGCGGAGGAGTGAGGAGGGACACTCCTTGTCCATCGGCCGTATTCACAAAGACAGTGTTGCCCCACCAGGTGTCAATATTATTCAAACCAATCGTACCATCCCGGGGGAATTGCAAGCAGAAGAAGAGTACAACCGTAGAGATTGCAACTCCAGAGTCCATCGCAGCGGAGAGGACATAGTTATACTTGGCCCACCAGGAGAAGTGTCTGCGACGAATGAGATATTGGAAAATGAACCCTACAATGGCCCATGGAACGTAGTTGATAGATGTGGCTGGGGGAAGAAGACCAGTACCAGTAAATATGACTGGGAAGCTGTGAAAATCGATTGGAATTAGTCTTTGAAATAACAGTAAAACGCTACATACTTGACGTAGCGAATGAAACTGTTGGGCCACTTCAGACTAATGAGCCAGGCTGAGAGAGGCGCAAGGAAGCCAACAAGGAAGAAGAATAGAAGTCCTGCGGGATAGATATGAGTTATTGAAATTTCCGAGCGGGACTGAATTCCACTGACCATAATAGGTTGCGCCATGGGAGAAGATTCGTTTCGGGCCAATCACACCCCATATTATACTGGCTGTACCGAACACCGTCGTCGAAGGACAGACGAAATCGTCAGGTTGGTCTGAATCACACATTCCTTTGATGTTTGTGAACATCCATGCTTGTACCCCGAGCTGTGTAGTTCCAGCGATCATAGCCGCTAATACCTGTGCAGTAAACATTGTTTTCGGTGGTATCTTCATGTAGTGACCCAGCTTGAGGTCTTGCGTAAATTGCAGGGCTGGATAATAAAATTAGCAGCTGTTTAAAATAGAATAGGATATATATAACCGTACCCCTAAAGGTCGTCAGTTGAGAACGTAGGACACAGATAGGTACCACTGATAAACTTACTGAGCCATGGTAATGTATCCCCAAGTTTTGAACATCATCATCGCGACCTAAAGCCATTGCTTTAGCCTTCCTCAGGTTTCTCCGATAAGCCGTAACTCACCGGACGACCAGGAAGCGCATAACCGATGATAAGTTCCGTAATGACATTGAGACCAACTGCAAGGTACGGTGAGTATCGGCAAAAGTGTAGATATTCTTAGCTCTACCTTGTTGATTGGTGATAGCTTGAATAATACCGATGGGAATAGTGTACACAAATGCTATCGGAACAGGCGGTAAGCTACGCCACTGGACCTGAAGGAACGGCGTAACTCACAAACCACAAGGGCAAGGATATAGTACCCAACAGGGAATTTTGTGTCCCACACAGTTATAGAAATCACACCGAATGTGAACATGACCACTGCAAAACTCTTCTGAGATTTTGAAGAGGAGATAGGCTGAAACTGCTCTCACGGAAGACAATGACATACCACCAGTTGGGTACTTGGTCGTAACGTGACATAAGACGTGCGTGGATGTCGGCCTGTATTGAAATCTGGTCTCAGTCCAAAGTATTCTGAAAGGCTACCAAACTCACCTGTTCATGGATAGAGCGACGAGCCTGGACCCAAATTTGCTTTCGGTAAAAGAGGCTGAAAAATATCTTGTTAGTAGTGAAAAGTGAAACTCGATTACACGAGAACAACATACAATGTATGGGTGATTGTCGCTGTCACACTGGCGAAGGACAGTCCTGAAAGAAAAAGTCAGGGATAGAGCCGCATAAAATCTGTCTACTACTTTACCATATGACATGGCGAACGTCACGGACAGGTACAATGGACTATATGCGTGATACGCCTCCTCGTTGAAAGTGCCATCTGGATTAGTGATTTGGGAAACATCGTAAACAGTTCCATTGCGGTTGAAGGAACCGTCATTTAGCACACTATCCCAAGATTAGTGATTCAACTCAATGTGAATGGGCGGTAAACGTACGGCAGATAAGCAGAATTCCATGTGTTGGTATACTTCAGGTTCATGTCAGTCCAATTTCAACTGTCTAAAACGAACGCCACACACGTAAAGAATGGGTGCGATAAGCCCTGCAGAAAATGTTCATTAGAAAACAGTGCAGCCTCTAGAAGACTTGGAGATCCTTACAGTAGAAGAAGACGAATGCAAAGGCAATGTTCCCCTCTGCCCACCAGGGTGCTATGAAAGACCCTTTAGTCACAGACGCTGTTAAAAGTGTGAGAGTATGCTTACTTGCCAGCGGAGAGCCAATATAGGCAATCTTTAAACAGTATTAGTCGGTTGAACGCCACAAAAACAAAGCTATTTTTACCTGAGCCCAGTCGAAAGTGAGCAAGCTCATTCCGAGACCAGAACGATACTGTTGCAACGTTTAACCCGAAATACGAGAAATATCAAGAAAGAAAACATACTCCAAACATCTGGTTAACTTTAACGTTATCCGGTACGATCCAACAGACCCAGGAAAAGTAACTCAGAGCTTGGAATAGGTATCCAGGCATGAAGTACCACGAGAAGGATCCCATGAACGCGAAAAGGAAGAATCGTTCACGGCTGATACCCCCGCGGGTTCCCATTCCTGCGTACTGGGTAGAGTGCAAAGTGTTGAATAATGCACCTAGCAGGCGAAGTCAACAACAGGCCGAGATGTTAATGGTACAACAGCTTACAAGTAACAAGATCGGTGGGCCAAACTAAACCAAATGGGTTGTCAGACATCGTTCTATCTGCAAGCAAGGAGACGTACTCATTGAAGGCGGCTGTACAAGGAACCTTCTGCATATTCCACCAATTGAGAAGCCGATAAGCTGGGTGGACATAACCATGAACCATTGATAACTAAAATTGAACACTTGATGGTAGAAGACTCGTTGAACGGCAACTATATCGGTCGCGTAGGCACTTTGATAACCAACGGTAGCCATTATCGTAACGAGGACCTGGATAAAAATAGGAAATGTCAACGAATGTGCATTGGAGCAGATTTCTGTTACGTACATGTTCTTTGATAGTGAAGGGACCAGGATTAAGTGCGACCCCGAAAACTTTCACGTTGGGAACCAAACGAGCCCATCCTCTTCCTATGGGAAACGCAAGAAGCTGGGCAACGAGCTGAGAACAAACAGATCAGTTTCAATTAGAAATGAGCA